CAGCTGAGGACAGAGAACCTGAAATGACCCTATCCTATAGCCATACTGATTAATATCTTGCATATCACCATAGAACCTTCATCTGGAGATGGATGGAGATAGAGACAGAGACCCACACTGGAGCACTGGACTGAGCTTCCAATGTCCCAAGGAGGAGCAGAAGGAGGGAAAATATGAGCAAAGAAGTCAGGACCACAAGGGGTGCACCCACCCACGGAGACAGTGGGGCTGATCTATTGTGAGCTCACCAAGGCCAGCTGGACTACGACTGAAAAACCATGGGATAAAACCAACTACTTTCTGATTCAGTTTAATTTCATCCCCAGATCATGAAATCCATGCCTTGAACCATCATTGGAACAGGAATTCTGTGGCTAGACAAATCACAGGTTTTAGGCAAAAACCTACTACTATGATTCTGATAACTGGAACTAGACAAAGTGTTAAACTAACTCCTGGTTGTTTATAGTTATACTCATAGGTTAATGCATACAAAACCTGTCATGAGAGAAACTTAAGCTTTTTTTGTTTGTTTGTTTTTTTTTTTTTGAGAAACTTCTATATGCAATAGATAATGGTTCCACTACTAGTATCCCCACAAACTGCCCATGTCAAACAACTGCCACCCACATTCAGAGGGTTTAATTCGATCTTATTCTGGTTCTCTAGCTGTCAGTCTTGGGTCAGTGAGCTTCCACTCGCTCAACTATGCTGTTTCTAAGGGTATCCCTCTCATGGTCTTGGTCCCTTGGCTCATAATATCAGTTCTCCCTCTCTATGACTAGACTTCAGGAGTTCAGTCGAATGATTAGCTCTGTAACTCTGCATCTGCTTCCATCAGTTACTGGATGAAAGTTCTATGATGACAATTAAGAAAGTCATCAATTTGATTACAGGGGAAGGGTATATTTTGTATCCTCTACTATTGTTTAGATTCTTAGCTGGACTCATCCTTGTGGTTTCTTGGGAATTTATCTAGTGTGTTGTTTCTCGCTAACAGAACAATGGCTCCCTCTTTCAAGGTATCTCTTTCCTTGCTCTCCCTCTCTGTCCTTTACCCAACTTGATAGTCTAGATTCCTCACGTTTTCCTCCCTTCTTCCCTGTCTCCTACCACCCTCCATGTCTCCCCCGACACTGACAATTTACTAAGGAGTTCTTGTCTATACAATCTACTGAAATTTTTTGTTCACTATATTTTGATCACCCTTTTTAAAAGACTTAACATTTTTTTCATTTCTAATTAAAAAAGAAAACTACTATGTATAAAAAGAGAAGGAAGATATGGCATAGAGCCATGAAAATCAAATGTATCAACAGAAACACATCATATTAATAGCAAAGGAAAAAAATTATTTTGATATTTAAAATAAATACAAGAAATAAAGAAAAATGTAAATATAATATTGGAAATGCATAATCACAACTGAAGAACCAAGCATAATTTTGGAAAATATAAAACAAACGATCTTAAATAAAAATACATATTTGAATGAAATTTACTATCAGATTAATAATTGGTGTTTTTAAAGGTGTAGAGGTGAACTTTTTTTTCTTTTTGAGAGAGAAGGGAGGGGATGTGAAGCTGGGTGAATAGGGAGTTGGAGAAAGATCTGGGATGAGTTTGAGAGGGGAAAGCACATGATCAAAATATATAATTTGAAATTTTTAAATAGAAAAATTTTAAAGTACAAATCAAACAGTCACAAATATGTATGAAATCAAAATAATACAAGAAAGAAGAAAGCTGAGCACAAATTCCAGAAACATGGATGAAGATAAAATAGTATTACATAAGGGAAAATGGGGATTTCAAGTGAAAAGGAGAGGACTGAAGAGATGGGTCTGCAGGTAAGAGCATTTGTTGCTCTTCCAGAGGATCTGAATTGAGTCCCCACACCTCATATCAAGTTTCTCATGATTGTCTATAACTGTAGTTCCAGGGGATCTCCATCTACAGAGACTTACACTCAAGTATGCAGATATACACACCTATATGTAATTTAAAAATAATAAAAATAAGTATTTTCAAAAATGGAAAGGATAAAAATAAAAAAAAAGCATTTAGGTAGGTACATATTAAAACTTTTCTAATTTGATGAGACAATACACCTTTTTACATACCAGATAAACTGGATAATAAATACAAAGTGAGACATTATCACACACATACATGCATGGACACACATTTACACACACACACACATGTACAAGCACATTTACACACTTTACATGAAAGTTGCTGAAAAACATTGATGCAAAGCTCCAAAAGCATTTGACACATTGAGCTCAGAAGAATAAAAACAGAAATTGCGAGTGAATTATTATCAGAAACTATACAAGACAGATAGCTTTAAAGACTGAAAGAATTTCAAAACTGTCAGCCTGGAATCCTATGTCACGGCAGCATATTTCAATACTGAAAGCACGAGAATGACTCTTCAAGTCATCAAAGAAAAAGGTAATTCATGCCCAATCAAATCAAGTAATACTGTGAAGAGAATAGCATAAAAGTTAAAAATGAATAATGGTAACATTGTAGTTTTAAGGATGCTGTGCAGCTTAATGGAGACACCAATTAATTTTTAAATAAACCTAAAATCGTGTTGCACCTACAAAATAAGACTTCAATGCATTAGCCAATAGAGAAGATATGGTTGAGATGCAAAGGCTGGAAGGCAAATGAGCAGTAGGAAAATTGATGTAATACATGGAACAAATACTTAGATAATGGAACAATATGAAACACAAATACAACTGCATCAATAATTTTATTAAATGAGAATCATATGAATGCACTGTCCTGGCTAATGTTTGTCAACTTGACAATAAACCTAGATGAAAATGGAAAGAGGAAATTTTAACTGAAAAAAAAATTCCTTCATAAAATTGCCTTTGGGGAAATTTTCTAAATTAGTGATTGATATGTGAGGTTCCATCAATTGTGAACAGTATCACCCCTAAGCAGGTGGCCATGGGTGACATAAGAATGATGAGCAAGCCATGAGGAGTAATATGCTAATGCTTACAGTTACTGTATATTTGTCAAGACCAAAATAAATGAATTGGAGATATAGCAAAAAATAGTAATATAAGGAAAACACTAAAATTTGTATTATAAGAAACAAGGTAGAGTCAACCAGAAATGTAAGCAGAAATAGAAAAAGGGGTAGACCAAGGAACAATGAGTTTAGAAACTCAAAAATAATGAATGCTATATAATTAAAACAGAGCTCAAGAATACATGAAGGAAAATGACATAGGAAACAGAAGAAAATTAACCAACTACAAATATAGGTTAAATATTCAGCACTCTTTCAATAATTGATTAATTTGAGAAGAAAACAGTTTCTAGAATCCTCAGATAATGCGATCACTTTACCTAATTTCCATAACAAAATCATGCATATTCATTCTTTTGTCATAATGGATATGTGGAAGACTAAAGTAGAAATCAGAAAACTAAGGAATCATTTGGAACAAGAAAAGGAAATCAAAGTTCAGTCTTAAAAAATATCAATAAGAAATTTAAAAACATTTATGTTTTTGAGATTCAGACACAGAAGTAAATGTAGATGTTAATATAGGCGCATATGCAGAGAGATGAAGATGTCAGTGTAGTTTAAGATGCAGATATAGATACAGATGTGGTTCCAAATAGAGGTATGTCTCATGCTAAAGAGCAGGAAAACCAATATGAATTTTTAAAAAGGAACAACAAAGTGGACATTCCTGAGCTTAAGTTTCTGTAAGATCTTATATAAATATATATTACATATATTTATTTTGCTTTATCTAATTGTATATTTAAAGTCAGTAAATTTAATTTTTTTAAAGAAAGAGTTGTTTCCTAGTTTATTTTTTATTATTATTCTTGGTGTATTTTGTGGGGGGGGGTTGTATATGTCTATGTGTGATGTTTGCATGTGTATGAGTATGGCAGTGGGTTGGGCAAACACTTGTCTGGGATCCATTCATCTCTCCATGAAGGACAGAAGACAACTCTCAGGCACCGATTTTCTTTTCATCTTGAATTCTAAGTATCAAATTCTGATCACCAGGCTTTCTCAGCAGGTGCTTTACCCTCTGAGTCATCTTGTTGGCCCAGTGTTTTAACTTTTTGCAAGTTACAGTTGTTCAAAATTAATCTTAACTGTCTGAACTGCTCATTTAGAGTAATGAGTCAGGGTAATTTTCCTTTCCTTGACCACCTTTTAAAGTTTGTATGAACCAGTTGTCGACACTTGACAAGTCATCTGTAGCAAGTGAAACAATGACTATCATGTTTACATAATTGCCTGGAATGATTTGAACTCTGCTGTTGTTTGTTGAAGCTATACAGAGATTCAGGGATTCCAAAGATTTCTACTGTGCAAACCCCTCACTTTGGTTTAACTGTTGCTGTGTGATTTACCACTTCCCCTATGTATTACACTGCCCATGTAGATTACCACTTCTTCTGTGGATTACCAACTGCCCTAAGTCATAAGGGAGAAAATATTTTAGTGCAAAGCAGTATGCAAGCAACCATACTTTGAGAATTTTACATCAAAAATAGACACTATGTGAAATTCTAAATGATATGTGGGTTTCTGTGTATATTCATTATAAAGCATAACCCCTTACCAAATATTCCTTAAGAAGTACTGAGTCTTCACTGTTATGCATTGTTGGGAAGTAGTGAAATCAAATTCTACATTGAGGGAAATGTACAGTTCTGTCAAATATTAAAACTTTTATCCGTAAAATCTCTAGATATGGATAAAAGTTTGATTTTTCTAGTCCAAAAATGGAGATACAAATTCTTCTAGTTATAATATCATAAAAACCACAGGAGTAATTGGCAAAACATGGTTTCATTGCTTACTAGTTTTCATCATTATTGTAAATAGGATGAATCTTATAGAGAATTAATAAAATCCTTAGTTATATACATATTTAAGCTGATGATTCACAATTAGGTGGCCACGGGATCTAAGAAGATGTTGGAGCACCGGACTGAAATCTCAATGTCATACCAGTTTTAAATAGAACCTGAGACTAATTTTGCTCAAGGTGCTATATGACTGCTCTTGTAAAGTTTTAGAGGAGCTAGTTGTGAATACTAGCAACAATTGGCTAATATTAAGTGGTAAGTGTCATAATAGTTTTTTTGGAGGCATACATCTACATAGGAGTCCAAAGAGTGTTTTTAAGTGTTTATGTGTGTGTATGTGTGTGCGTGAATGTGGGGTGCATGTATGTGTGTGTGTGTATGTATATGTGAATGTATAGTTTAAATTAACAAACATAACATCCTAAGAGTTTGTGGTCAATATGCTAGTGACACCAGGGCATCATCTAGTAAATGTTAGTTTATGGAGAAAGAGTTACTTCTTAAGAGAAAAATACCATTACCAACAATGAACTATCCATAGTAATTTGACAAAACTTTGAAATTCTTCATTAAAATTATTCAATTCAATGCAAATTCAGATTATAATAAAAGACCAATTTGTAATGAAAAATAAAGAACAGTAACATTAGAGATAATCTTACCAAAATATAGCATTAAGGATTTTTATGCAGCTCCTCTTTCAAAATATCTAAATTGTTTACATTTATGATTTTAATCATTCTTGATCAAAGTTTTTCATATCTGTGTATACATGTATCTACTCACATATATGTACACAAAAGTGCAATGCATATATTTTCTATTTTCAAATACATTAAATATATATATGAAGCTATTTTGTTGGTCAGTATTATATATAAATTACTAATACTCATGCTGTAAACTCTACAAAATTTAGGAAAATGAGAAATATTTATCTAGTTGAATGTAATTTGTGGTTTATCAATAGTGTTCATCTACATTATCTTAAAAATAAGATCACTTTATTACAGTTGCCTCAGAAATAAAAATACCACACAGTTATTTTAATACAATGACCAAACAGTTAGCCAGCAGTGTCTCCTCTGTGTATCCTAGCCTATCATTCATATGTGTAAACAAGTATAAATCTGAGTATCATATGAAATTAAGATAGGAGACCAAGTAAGGACAAAATGAGGTAATGAGAAAGGACAGAATACTGGCAAAAGGATACATGATTCGTGAAAGAAAATATAAAACAATTTTTTTCCCTAGTCTTAACTCTGTAGCATTGATCATAAATGTGTAACACACTTAGAAACACTCCATAGCTTCATAATGGCCATGCTATTTGAGCTGTTCACTGAAATACATTGAATTAGGAACTAGACAAGAGATTAACTTGGTTTCTCAGTATATATTAGATGGATGGTTAGATGGTATGTTGTTTTCATACTAAAACATTCTATTATATAAGATAAGGACTTTATATCTTTTTGTTTTCTCATAAAAAGGTAAACAATTCTTCTTGCCGTATTCAATCAGTAATAGAGCTTTGGGAAGAACAGCTTTAAAAAGTCTGAAACCAAAATGTAGGAATTTTTACTGTATGGAAGAAATCTAGGTAAGAGGTGATAGGGATTTCAAAGGTAGTTCAAAGACTCAGTACAATGAATGTTTCAGTTTGGAGCTTGTTGTAAGCCAGTCAGTTACAGATGTACTAAAACACTGATGATATAAAATACCAAAGTGAGAAAAGCACGCCGCCATCGTCAGTCACCCCGAGACAGGTGTATCTCCTGAAAAGCAACATATACGGCTCTCTGCAGCTTCTTCAAGCCCTAAAATTCTAAAGTTTTATAAAAATACATTTGGAAATTGAAGAAGAAAAATGGCTATGTTCCATAAATGTAGCAAGAATGGTGTTTCGAATATGTTTTTTTTATTTTTTTTAATTTATTTATTTATTAAAGATTTCTGTCTCTTCCACACC